TAATTGGTACTGAAATTGACACTTTCCACTAGGATTGGCTAAAAGTTTTACAACTGAGGTTTAACACGCCTAGACGCAGTTTTATAAAGAAAGTAGGCTAGAAAAAGGTTTAGATACCAATCATAGATGGCAGGACCAGTGCTGAGGTGAAAGGAAATATCTTAAAAAATTTTTTGAAAAAAACATTTCTTCTTAGAGGGCGCTTATTTACAGTCTAAAACGTATTTTAGGAATTTTTTCATTAAATTCCTCTTTAAACTTCATTAAAGAATACAATTTTGTACAAATAATTGAATGTTATGCTACTATTTATAAAAATAAAATCAGAAATCCATTAAAAGATAAGTTCTCTATCATATTTTCAATTCACAAATGCACACTTGTATTGCCTACTAAGAAAGTTAGTACCGGTAGTCATCGGGTTAAGACAATATAAAAATACATTGGATAAGATTGCTTACCTTGAACTTCACTGAGCTGATGAGAGCTGGTGTATCATGAAAATGTAGTTCTTAGTGGTTGTTGGGTGGTATTTGTTGTAAAATGCAAGCATTTATGTTCTCCTTGTGGGTGTAACTTTAATGAACTGAAAGTTTAGTGTCTTGTACTATCAAGTATATGTTTTCTTCCGTCTGCTTTGTGAAGGTTGTTGTCTTCATTTATAAAGTATTATAGGGTAAATAAATGGTTTATTAATTTCTACATTGAAAATTGATAACGATGTAATTTATGTTTTTATTTTTTATAAATGACTCTCACAGGTTATGTAGAATGTCCTTCTTGTGGACGTTACTTTAATGAACGTGCAGCTGATAGACATATCCCATGGTGTCAAGAGCAAAAGGCTAGAATACCAAAAAGTCCAGCAAGCGTTGATGCTAAAGAAAGACTAAAAGCAAGGACAAAGGTAAAAGGCTCTTCAATATTAACAAATATACCACACTTGTTTTTCGTTTTTATCAAAGCTTTCACAAATATTTTTGACAATGTTACTATTTGTTTGGCTGCAATAACTTGCTGAACTCATTTCATTGATCTGTAACTCAAGTCTATTCATTAAAAGCCATTTTTTGTATGTAAATCTTTTTTGATTGCTTTCTCTAGCAAGAATCTTATGTGAACTGTGATGTGTTGCTACATCAGATTCATTGAGAGTGTGATTGAGAATACTTGAATTGTAATTAACTGTCAAATTTATGTTATTTCATCTGTGTTTCTTACCATCTGGTGTTTGACTCATTATGCATAGAATTACATCTAGAAAATTTCAATTCATACATAAAATTAGATGTTTTCAAGTTTGATATTATTGACTGTTTTTGTCTTTGGACCTGAAAACTGATTTTTTCACATTTAATACATATTTTTCATTATGTGGCAATACTAGTTACAAACATTATTTAGAAAAATTCCATTTTAATTGTTTAGAACTTTTGACTTTACTCATATAATTGTGTATGATATTATGAACCATGTTATTTGGAAAAACATTTTTGTTTAAAATGTTTAATGTGTCCGAACTTCGTGTGAAGATATTCATAAGTGCTACTGATTTTATAATTGTGATGAAGTAATATCTTAATCATACTTGTTTCAAAGAATTCTGGAATGAAATTGTCAAAATGAAAGTACAAATCATTAAATACATATATATTTTATTTTTTTGTGGTACACATCACATTCTGAAAGTGATGGAAGTTATGTTTTCACCCCTGTATGTTTGGGTTTTTCAACAGGATTTCTTGAAAATGGCATGATGGATTTTGATGAAAGTTGGTATACACTTGGATTATGACCCAACTTAGAAGAGATTAGTTTTTGTAGGGTCATGGTAACAGCAAGGTCACAAAAATCCAAAAAATCCCCATCTGTTAAAATGGGGACTGATTTTTCACACTATTTTTGCTCTATAACCCAGTCAAAAGTGATTGGATCTTGATGAAATGTGGTAGACTTATGTAGAATATTATTCCTCATTTTTCCCAACCACAGTTTTTCATAGTAGCAAAAGAACAATTTGGCAGGTGATGACGCTAATCTGACTCCATTGCATGTCCATCTGTTTTATCATATACAATGTTGCTAAATAAAAAATTAGATTAGTTGGTGGGAGATCTCAGTAATTTCTGAAAACATACTTTATAAACTTTTATTATACGTATAATGTCATCTGTTATAAAGATCTGTTGTTGCAATGTCTCTTCCAAAGGAATTTTAGTGCACAGAAAATTTACATTAAAAGTTGCACAATAAACATTTTTATCAAACTTTAAATCATGTACATTAGAAAAAATTAAAACTATCTGTTATGATATATTGATTATGTGTATAGTGCTTAAGGCACTTGACCATAAAACAACTAATCCATGATAATATGTAACTGTATTAGAGCCTTTAGGTGTAACAGGACTGCATTCTTTACATATACTTTTGGAACACCTTATAAAATACCTAGTTGACAGTGTGATGACCTTGTATTAGAATATTCTTTTTGTGTTTATAACTTATCTATTTTAAGTTTTAACAAACTATTATGTAGTTTAGTTTTTTTGTTTGCAAGGTAACACAAATTCATATTATTCTTTTCTCTCGTGTTTTAAAATTCTGATTTTTAGTTTTAGTTAATTGCAGATCAGGGTTGGACCAGTTGATGACCTTGTAGTATGCAGGCATATTAAAGTATAATGTTTATTTTCTCTTTTAGTTTATACCAGTAAAACTTTCTTGTTTGACAAGAATTGTAAAAAATTTCCACACATACATGTATTTTGGCTCACATATGCAATTAACAGTTGAGAATTGGTTCTGAAACATAGCTAAAATGATTTTCTCCTAGTTAAGCATTGTTCTGGGTCATTCTATCTTAGTATCAAATGCACTTCCTTGTGGAAAAGATTGCTATAGGAATGCATAGCTAAATACTATGTGAAGGTTTTGGATATAATATTAACTATTGGCTAGTGATACCCAAAGGTAATAACTTTAATATTTTCACTTATAGAATGACCAGTGAGTATACTGTCAGTTCTGGCATGGTTGAGAAACATTTGGCTAGGTTTGTTCACCTATGGAGCTCTTTCACCACATATCTTTAGGTACTTCAGGTGTTATCCACAAGATTCTACCCTTATTTTCTCACCCCACCTCCATTATCTCCACATCCCATTCCTTCCCCTTCTCCTCAGGATCCCCTGTCCTGTCAGCATTTCTTCAAAGCAGTTCGAGATCTTCACAAGGATGCTATCAAACCCATCAATCACCCTTCTTCAGGGTTCTATTTTAGGTTGTTCATAGTTCCAAGAAGACAGGTTACTGGCATCCTGTCACAGATCTCTCCAGTCTCAACTGTTTCATTGACTCATTTCACCATGGAGTTTTTCCTTACTATTCAGTGGGCACTTACTCCGGGTCTTTGAATGACTAAGATGGATGTATTGGGTGCTTACCTTCACCTCCATATTACTTCAACATCCAGATGTTACCTTTGTTTTGTCTACAAAGATCGAGTATATCAAATCTGCACTCTCCCATTTAGTCTGGCTTCCACAACCTAAGTATTCTGTTGGGTGGTCTGGGCCTTTGCACATTTTCTTCATTCTCGTGGTCTGTGGTTTCACTATTATATGGACAACTGGCTGCTTTTAGCTCCATCCCAACAAACATTTCTCTCTCTCACACACACACACTTACTTCTCTGAGAGGCTTCTCATGTGGGTTGGCTAGTCAAGTTGGAGAAGTTCTTGCCTATCCCAACCCAACACCTTATCCATTTGGGAGTGTTCTTCAACTCCTATCTCAGTTTGGCCCAGCTGTCTCCTCTCCAATTGAGAACGATGGAACTATTAGTCCACAAAGCTTAATCCTCTCCTTCTTTCACTGCATGTGAGGTTCTGTCTCTTTTACTTGGGCTTCCATGGAATCCCTCATTCCTTTAGGTTGTGCTCACATGTGCTCTTCACTGGGTGTTGCATGATCAATGAAATCTTGCCCAGGAACCCCTGGACTCTGTTATTCTTCTCCCTCTCTCATTACATGTAAATTTTTTCTGGTGGACAACACCATAGTTAACATTCCTCTTCTGCCCCCCCTTCATCCCAAGTTGCATTTTTTTACAATACTTCGCTAATGGGTTGGGGGCATTTATGGATTACCAGGAGGTTGCAAGTCATTGGTCTTTGGTTGAATTGGCTCTGCACATCTATCTTTTGGAGCTACTTGCCATTCGTCAAGCTTGGGATCATTTCTTACTTTTGGTATGAGGCAAATTGGTCGTGATCCATTTTGAAAATTTGATCGTTCTCTTACCTCACTTGACAAGGGGGCACTTGTTCACATTTGCTTTGTTTTCAAACATTGGAACTCCTCTTCAGGGGCCATTCATTTCACATACACCTACTGGCATGTCATGTCCCGGGTGCTCTGCATCTTGCTGCTGACTGCATGTCTCATCCTGACAACATTTTCCCTATGGAGTGGTCCCTCAATTCCCAGATGTTTTGGTGGTTGTGTGCAAAGTGGGGTACTCCATTTCTGGATACATTTGCCACCTACCTCAATTCCAAACTATCCATCTTATGGTCCTCAGTTCCACATCCTTTGTCTTTGGTAGTAGATGCCTTCAGTCAGGATTAGTTCAACCTTTTTACTTATGCCTATCCTCCAATCTGCCTACTACCCCATGTTTTATCCCTTATCCACACCACTCTGTGTTGAGTCCTTCTCACTGTCTTTTCTGGCCTGCTCAACCATGGTTTTTAGTCCTTACCCTCCTTCAGTCATCCCCTCCATTATCACTTCTACTTTCCCACTCCCTTCTCCAGCAATCTCATTCAAGAAACTGATGATATTTTAGTAGATCTCAATGAATGAAATTTGACACAACTTCTAAAATAAAAATAAAATAAATATTATATGAGAATGTAACATGATCAAATGTATATTATTTATACTATGGTGGTACTATCCTGGGCATTATACCATCCTTATTATATTTACTCTTCATTGCAGAAATGATATTTTAATTTGAAAATCACTTGGGAAATCATCTTGTAATGCATAGTGCATCTGCTTTAACTTCAACATTGCTTCTTTGGGTTTTGCTATGCTGTTAGTTTCACAAAATATTGAAATTAATTATTTCTAATATATGATTCCTATCCTCCTTTTTGAAGGTAACAATACTATCATGTCCATTGTTTTATGTTTCACTGTCTATACAGTAATCAGTTGACAAGTCCGTGATTCAGTTGATACGTTAAATTGATTGGGATATCTTCGAATCAGTTCTATCCTCATTTGACCTGGACCCACAGTTTAGCTCACTATTCTTAAACCATCACATTCACAACCATGTCTACACCATTTCATGTTTGATTGCTATGTCATTTTAATTTACATTAACAAGTTAACTTCTCCATGTTCGCTCTCATCGTCAAGGGTCTAGTCCAGGACTTTGATTACTAGTTTGTGACACATCAAGGGAAAAATGTTGTACCTAATATTTTTGTAGGCTTTTGTGAGAGAATATGTTTGGTTTTTGCTGCTGAAATATTTGAGTGAACTCTTGAATAAGTTAAAACAAGACTAAATGAAAATTATTTTTGGGACCTTTTAAATAGATGCCCTTTGTTAGACAACATATACAATGTTAATGAGGAGTTAAACTAGGAAAGAGTCATCAAGAAGTTAGAAGCATATTTATAAAAATATTATTGAAAAGAAATGGTGTTGAATGTTTCATGTAAATATATTAATATTTGCCAAAAAATAAATGTTTGACAGAATTAAGAACTATTTAATTGATTATTGAAACTACACAAATCAAATTTCAGGAATACTAATTATAAATAAACAAATGTATATACATATATATATATATACACACACACATATAATTCGATATAAAAC